TGTGTGTGTGTGTGTGTGTGTGTAAGGTTCTGGTAGCTTTGCTTCCAGAATGTGGGAGACCAGTGCTCCTTGGTTGCTTGCCTGTGTAAGCGCTCCCAGGGAATATGTTTCCTATTGATTCTATAACAAATGACCTCAGACTTTTGTTCTTATTCTTTTGGAGATCAGAATCCTAAGGCAGTGAGTAGGGCTGTATTCCTGCTGGAAGTTCTGGAGGAGAATCTCTTCTTTGTCTTTTCCTGATTCTAGAAGCTGCCTATTTCTTGGCATGGGCCCCACCCCCACCTCTTCAAAGCCAGCAGCTTAGAATCTCTCTCTTCCTCCTCCTCCTTCCCCCCTCCCTTTTCTCTCCCCACCTTCCCTCCCTCCCCTGCTTCTACCAACAGTTAATTTTTTTCCTGACTTTAACTTTCCTGGGTGCTTTTTTTCCTTACAAGGATGCCCGTGATTATAAGAAAACCACTTGAATAATACAGCTCTTTCATCTCAAGATTCTATTTTATTTATTATTTTTATTTTATGTGTATGCATGTATTGGCTGCATGTAGGTAAGTGCACCCATGTCATGCAATGCCCATGGAGGACAGAAGAGGCTGTCGGATCCCCTGGAACTGGAGTTATGGACAGTTGTCAGCTGCAATGTGGGTGCTGGGATTTGAACCCAGGTCTTCTGCAAGAACAGCCAGTGTTCTTAACTGCTGAGCCATCTCTCCAGCCCTCTTCTTTAATTTTTTTGTGATTTATTTATTTTTATGTGTATGAGTGTTTTGCCTGCATGTATGTTAAGTGCACCTGGGTCTGCAATGCCCATGGAGGCCAGAAGAGGGCATTGGATTCCCTGGAAACATAGTTAAAGATGGTAGGATGGTTATTAACTACCATGTAGGTGCTGGGAACCAAACCCAGGTCTTCTGCAAGAGAGCCAGTGCTCTTAACCACTGAGCCACCTCTCCAGGCTCCTCTCTCAAGATTCCTAATGAAATCACACTCATAGTTCCTTTTAGCCATAGAATGCAGTACACTTACAGGTTCTGGGGTTTGCAGTGTGCATGTCTTGGAGGACATTATTATCCCTACCATACAGTAGTGGTAGTAGGCAGCAGCCCTGTGGATTGGAAAGGAGTGGCGGGAGCCAGATAGGGGAATACTAAAACAGTGAGGTGACTTGTGCTGCTTTTGTATCACTATAGACACTTCCCTGAACCCTGTCACTCAAATGCACCCTCTTTTTTCAGGCCCACCCCCAGAAATCATTATCTATCAGCAACTGCGGATGGAGGGGTTCATCTGCACCCGCTGGCAAGGAGATGTCCGCCAGAAAGCTCTGACAGACTTGATGAATTGGGTCTCAGAGGTAAGGGCTCCAGCCTCCCCCTGGCACTGTACAACGACTGCCAAACCACAATCCTGTCTCAGTATTTCCAATGCTGGGATTACAGGCGTGCACCACCATATCCAAATCTCTAAATTTCATTTCCACTCAAACACAGATCCATTTTACTGTTTCTTCTTTCTAACAAAATACCTGGGGATATTCTACATTTGTGCATATAGTTCCCTTTCCATTCTTTTAAAATATATTTCCTGGGGCTGGAGAGATGGCTTAGCAGTTAAGAACACTGGTTGTTTTTACAGAAGACCTGGGTTTGAGTCCCAGCATCCACATGACAGCTAACAATGAGTGCACTTGCCTACATGCAGGCAATACATGCATACACATAAAAAATTTAAAAAATATTTCCTTTATTATTTTTTTTAATTTTATGTGTATGAGTATTTTGCCTGTGTATATGTAAGTGCACCCGTGTCAGTGCAAAACTGGCAGAGACTAGAAGAGGGTGTCAGGTTCCCTGGAACTGGAGTTACAGATTGTTGTTAGCCACCATGTGAGTATTGGGAATTGAACCTCAGTCCTGCACAAGAGCACTCTTAACCACTGAGCCATCTCTCTAGCCCCAGCATTTAAAAAAGTGTAAACATTCGGGGTGAAGAGGTAGCTCAGTGATTAAAAGCACTGGCTATTTTTGCAGAGGACCCAGGGTTCAATTCCCAGCACCCACATGGCAGCTAACGGTCATCTGTAACTCCAGTTCTAGAGGATCCAAGGCCCTCTTCTGCCCTCCACAGGCATGGGTGCACTTACACACATGCAGGCATAACACTCACATACATAAAATAAAAATAAATAAGAGGGTCTGGAGAGATGGCTCAGCGCTTAAGAACACTGGGGGCTCTTGCAGAAGACCTGGGTTTGAGTCCCAGCACCCACCTGGCAACTAATAACCATCTGTAACTCCAGTTCAGGGGACTTGACACCCTCTTCTGACCTCCATGGGCATTGTACAGCACAGGTATAGTTATATACATGCAGGCAATACACTCAAACACATAAAATTTTAAAAATAATAAATAAAATATTGAAATAAATAAGAAAATTAGAAAATATTTTTCTTTTTAAAAACAGTTTAAGACATTTAAATTGATTTTTTTTTTTTTTGTCTTTTTGAAACAGGGTCTCCCTATTGCCCCAGCTGGCCTGGAACTCTCTATGTAGACCAGACTGGCCTCGAACTCACAAAGATCCACCTGCCTCTGCCTCCCAAGTGCTAGGATTGAAGGTATTTGTAGAGGGTAATAGATGAGCCCATGCATACAATGAGTTGCTATTAGATCAGGGTATATCCAGCACCTCAGACATCTATCACCTCTGTAACTGGAACATGCGTGATCATCTTTACTATCTATTTTGAAATACATCAATACATCATTGATTGTAGTCACCTGGAATATGCCAAAAAAACATTAAAACAAACCAGGCAACTCTATAGACCTGGCTGGGCTGGCCTGGAACTCACTATGTAGACCAGGCTGCCCTTGAACTCACAGAGATCCACCTGCCTCTGCCTCCTGAGTGCTGGGATTAAAGGCTTGTGCCACCACACCAGCTCACCAGGTAACTTTTTAAATGATTTTGTTGTTGTTGTTGTTGTTGTTTTGAGATAGGGTCTCTCTGTAGCCCCAGCTGTCCTGGAACTCACTGTGTAGACCAGGTTTGCCTCGAACTCACAAAGATCTGCCTGCCTCTGCCTCCTGAGAGCTGGGATTAAAGTCGTGCGTCACTACATTTGGCTAAATGATTTTTTTTTTCTTTGTCTTTTTGAAGCAGGGTCTCCCTGTAGCCCCAGCTGTCCTGGAACTCATTATGTAGACCAGACTGGCCTTGAATTCACAGAGATCCACCTGCCTCTGCCTCCCAAGTGCTGGGACTACTAAATGATTATTTTTTTAAGATGCAATATCACTTTGTTTCTGATTCGCCTTATCTTTTTTACCCACAGTGGTTATATTTTAATATGTGCTCTAATTTGTTCAATTATCACCCTTTCTCTTTGATGAAACTGTAGCATCCATAAGAATAACAATATTTATGCATTTTATGTTTCCCAGCACCCAAAATAGGGGCTGGATCAATGTGGGCACTAAAGAAGCCTGGGAATGCAGTTCAGTGTGAGAGCAGTTGCTTAGGACATATAAGGTCCTGGGTTCAATCTCCAACACTTTCCCCCAGATAAATACTATAAAATGAATATTAGAGGGGCATGCAAGTGGGCTGTAGCTCTGCATGTCCAAGCTGGATAAAGCTTCATCTAGCTGTGCCTTGAGAACCAGAAGAAGGAGCCAGTCCCCTTGCCTGTGCTGTGATCATTCTCCCTCCTTGCCATGTGGAGTTCTAGTCAAATCTGAATTAAGAGGCTTTATTTCAGTTTTAGAGAGAAAAAGTGAAATAGTGGGTCCCTCCTTCCTGGCCTGGGGATCACTTCCCCATCCAGAGACAGACTGTTCTCTGGCAGCCGCTGGAGGTTGGAGACCATCCCAGACTAACAACTCAGAGTGCTAAGCTGGTCTCCTTCCAGAGAACTGGGAAGGGCTGAATTATTTCAAGTTCCCAGTGTGTGGCCTCTTTGTCCTTGTTAGTGAAATGAAATCCAGGTCCATGATCACAGTTGACAACAAGAAGTGCCCGTGTGCCTAACGCGTCCTTTCTTCCTCAGTGACTCTGAGCTGGCCAATTTCTTTCTAATCCTTTTTGCTCATTCTCCTCCACTCACTCCCTAGTCCAAGGCTGGGACTGAGCTCAGAGGCTTGGAAAATTCTAAGTGATAATCTTCACTTACTGAGGTACATATACAACCCTAACTTTAAAAAAATGATACCTGCTGGGGGTGGTGGCACACGCCTTTAGTCCCAGCACTTGAGAAGCAGAGGCAAGAGGATCTGTGTGAGTTTGATGCCAGCCTGGTCTACATAGTGAGTTCCAGGACAGCTGGGGATAAAGGGAGACCCTGTCTCAAAAAGACCAAAAAAAAAAAAGATACATGAGCATGGTGGTGCAAGCCTTTAATCCCAGCACTCAAAAAAGACCAAAAAACCCAAAAAACAATAAACAAAAAAACATGTCATTTTAACAGGATTATAGATTTATGGGGAGAAAGGGGACCATAATAGAGAAAACTCCCATATACCTGCATATTATACTTTAATTACCCCCTCTCTTTTTTTTTTTTTTTTGGTCTTTGTGAGACAGGGTCTCCCTGTAGCCCCATGAGTCCTGGAACTCACTATGTAGACCAGGCTGGCCTTGAACTCGCCTGCCTCTGCCTCCCGAGTGCTGGGATTAAAAGCATGTGCCACCATGCCTGGCCAATTTCCCCTATTTTTAAATTTTCCACTAGTAGGCTGGAGGGATGGTTCAGTGGTTAAAAGCACTGGTTGCTCTTGCAGAGGAGCAACCAACAACTGTCCATAACGCCAGTTCTAGGGAATCTGATGCCCTCTTCTGATCTCCATGGGCATTGCACAACATGGGTGCACTTTCATACACTCAGGCAAAACACTCGTACGCTTAAAAAAAAAAAAACTATTTCTATTAATATTTGTATTACATTCTTAGGGCTACTATTACAAAGCACCACAGGCTGGGTGGCTTAAACATCAGAAATTTATTTTCTCGTAGTTCAGTCACTCGAGATCAAAGTATCAGTGGGGCTGCTTTTTCTGAGGTTTTCTTCCTTTTCCTGCACCTTCCTGGTCTTCTGTGTGTCTGTGTCTGTTATCTGTGTCTCTCAAGGGACACAGTCTGTTGGATTAGGGCCTACCCATATGATCTCATTATGTCTTATGTATTTAAAGGCTGTCTTCAAAGATAGTTACAGTCTGAGGTACTGGGGGTTAGGAGTTCAACAAATGAATTTGGGTGGTGGTTAGGACTCCATTTAGTCCATGACAATATTCATTCTCTATTTTTGATCATTGGATTCTAACTTTTAAAAATATTTTATTATTTTTATTTTATGTGTACAAGTGTATTGTTTGCATGTAGTAGGTGCATCCCTATCACGCAATGGCGTGGGGGGTCAGAAGAGGGCATTGAATCCCCTGGAACTGGAGTTACAGACAGTTGTTAGCTGTCGTGTGGGTACTGGGAATTGAACCCGGGTCCTCTGCAAGAGCAACCACTGTTCTTAACTGCTAAGCCATCATGGTGGCTATGAACCGTCCTTAACTCCAGTTCCAGGGGAATCCAAAGCCCTCTTCTGACCTCCACAGCATTGCACGACATGGGTGCACTCACCAGACAATAATACACTCATACACATAAAATAAAAATAATAAAGTATTTTTTTTAAAAAAAAAGAAAAATCTTTATCAGGTAACTTGGGTTTCTACATAAAAACCCACTGAGAAAAAAAAAAAAAACAAAACTTGAATCTGGGTGTGGTGATACATGCCTGTAATCCCAGCACCCTGGAGGAAGATCGAGTCCAAGGCCAAACTGAGCTATATAGGCAAACTGTGTCTCAACAAAACAAAATTAACCCTTGAAAATGCCAACTGTGTGCCTTGCAGTAGAAAGGGAAATGGAAAACCTTCCTCTCTAACAAGCCCTCCCACTTTCCCAAGTAACTGGTAACACACAGAAAGAAGCTTGGTGTACTGGGAGGACAAAGTGTGAGTGAGGCTCCATGGTATTTACCTTTCCTGAACAGGCTCTGCCTCCTTCAGGCTTACTTAACGGTAGTGATTCTGCATAACTTGATTACTAGATGTAATGAGAACAGCGTCTGGTGAGGATGCTTTCTTCCTCTGTTTCCACCTCTTTTAAGATCATTGCATTATTAAACTTCTCTATGCAGTCTTCTTAGAAATTGTTTAATTATTGCTGGGTGTGGCGGCGCATGCCTTTAGTCCCAGCACTTGGGAGACAGATGCAAGTGGGTCTTTGTAAGTTCGAGGCCAGCCTGGTATACATAGCAAGTACCAGGCCAGCTGGGGTTACAGGGAGACCCTGTTCCTGTGTCAAAAAGACCAAAAAAAAAAAAGAAAGAAAAGAAATTGTTTAATTATTGCCTGTTGTTATCCTGTGATGTGTCACATACACTCTGTACACAGATATGCTTCTCTACAGGGAAGAGGGCCCCCATCTCAGAGTTTCAAGGTTCTCATGATGTATCTGATACATTTGTTACTAGAATAGGAAGAGAGTATCATTTGGAAAATGAAACCAACCTAATCTATTTGTTGTTTTGATACAGGGTAAAATCCAGTATCATGAATACGTCATTGAAGGATTTGAAAACATGCCAGCAGCGTTTATGGGAATGTTGAAAGGAGAAAATCTGGGGAAGGCAATAGTGAAAGCATGAAGAAAAAAACGACAGGTGGATCATCACTGGCTGATTGGCTTTTTACCATTTAGTACAAATGTACACTGCCTTAATTATCTACAACTAGTAACGGCAATGGATTTGACCTGCCTGATAAAACACACTTGTGATAACCTGGGATACAGAATGAAAATTTCATGACAAATAACCAGTCACTTTTCTACCCACTTCACCTCCTCTGAAGCTATTGGCGTCTGTTCTCCTTTCATTTCCTACTGCTTTGATAACACGCTTTGATCAAAGACAACTTAGAGGAGGAAAAGATTTATTTGACTTACACTTCCAGGTCACAGTCCATCAATGAGGGATATCAGGGCAGGAACTTGAAGACAGGTCTGCTTGCCATTGCAGCTAGCGTTAGCTTTATCCGGGGACCTCACAGTCAAGGAAGTACTATAGAAACCATGGGGAACTCGGCTTGATAGCTGGCCGGTACAGGCTGGTGCTCAGCTAGCTTTCTTATAGCCCAGGACCACCTGCCCAGGAATGGTACTGCCCACAGTGGTATTAACAACAGTCTCCCACAGACATGCCCATAGGCCAATCTAATCTATGGAATTCCTCAATTCAGGCTCTCAGGAGATTTCTAGGTTGTACTGAGTTGACAGTTAAAGCTAACAAGGACAGTGTCCAAAGGTTTACTACCTCTGTGAGCTCAGATTTCTGATTTTTGCTATAAAGTGAGCTAACTCAATGCAACAACTGGTGAATTTGAAGTCATGAGATTTTCCACCCCAATTGCTTATGATGATACCAGGAAAAAACCTCAAATATTGCTGATGCATTGGGGGAGGGGGGCTCACTGTCAGCCCACACTGCTGCTCTTTTCATGAGGTTGATGCCAAATTAACAGACCAAGGAAGGAACCTGTCATTCGCAACTGGAAAATAGGTGACACCTGGGAGCACTTATTTACACACCTACAAAAATACACAAGATTTAAATCTTTAAAATAGGATTAGGAGTACAAAAGATATGGATATAAAAGATTGGATGCTCTTGGATGGAGATTCAGTATCAGAAAGATGTCAATTCTGTCAGTCAATTATGCTGTCAGAGAGGGAAGGGTTAAATAAAACTAGTACAGTGACACAATGGGGCAAAAAGTATGTCCGTATAGAAACTGGAAATCTATGAACTACTAATATGGTTTGTCTTCAAAGAATAAAAGTGAAGTGTTGGTGAGAGACAAGAGTAAAACTTTATACTGCACACTTTGCACTTTTTGAATTCTGAACCTTTACTGACATACAGTTGGAAAGTGGAAGTCTGCTTTTGTGGGTCTTATTTTACTATTCATTCCCATAGACATGAGCTGCTGGAGTTTGGGATCGAGGACCTCTTGTGGCCCAGCAAGCTGAGATCATACAAGGAGGCTGGCTACCTCAGGAAGTCAAAGAATAGGGCAGAGGGGCTGGGGTGTGTTGTGGCCTGATGAGCCTTTGAACCTAAGTAAAATGACTGAGCGAAATTAAGGTGGCTTCTGAGACACAGTAGGGCTCTCAAAGTCCAAAGAGTGTGATGAAGCCATCAGTGTGTGTCAAGAAGAGCACAGTCTGATGAAAGGTATCACAGTCCAAGCAGGGTGAGGTCAGCATCTGAACAGAGGGTTGCTTAGTGTGAGGACTCAAAAGATGAGCAGGGCTAGGAGGGCTTCAAATGTGACAGTGTAGTTAAGAGTTCAGACAGTGCAAACAGGGTGACATACATAGTGTCCTGGCAGGAGGGTGTCATCCCAAGCAGGATGAGGACAGTATCCACATAGGATCAAAGGACCGAGTACAGGCAGTTGGATCACATGCAAGCTGAAATGGATTCCCATGCAGGTTGAAGTGCTCATGCATAGCATACCTGGTGTGGAGGTCAAAGTAGTACTGCTATGTGGCAGTGGGCCCAAGCAGGGCAAGGACAACATCCAAAGGGAGATTGTTCTCTGGGCAAACTATAGATCTGTGGGAGAAATGACAGTGCTCCAAAGATTAGCAGGCACTGATTGAGGGTCCCCAAAGTGAAGCCAAGTGAAGCCTAAAGCTTCTGACTCAGTCCTTGGTCAACTTATGTGTATGAATATATTGTCTACATGTAAGTAAGTGCACCTGGGTCATGCAATGCCTGTGGAGGTCAGAAGGGGGTGTTGAATCCCCTGGAACCAGAGTTAGGGATGGATATTTGCCACCATGTGGGTGCTGGGAGCTGCACCCAGGTCCTCTGCAAGAGCAACCAGTACTCTTAACTGCTGAGCCATCTCTCCAGCTCCCAGACCTTGGACTTGGGAGTCATAAAGGACTGTTGAGTCATAAACACATGAGACTTTGGAGTGTGTTCTAGAGGAACAAACATACATAGGAAGAATGAAAGGACTTGTTGATCATGAGACAGACTGTGGCAGCAATTAATCTATTTACTCACAATATGGAGGACTTCTTTCCAGCCTCCCTAGCCTGATTATATCTGGCTAGTGGAAGAGAAGTGATTTCAAAGCAGAGAGACTGAGTTTTTTGGTTATAGCCTAAGTGCCACAATTGGTTTTCAAAAGTGCCCTTAGGCTAAAAGTAATACCCACCTGTTCTATTTGCTAGTTAATTCCGAACACAGAAGTCCATGCTGTGTCTAATAGTTGTAGCCTTGCTGTCCTTAAAATGTTAACATACCCCTGGACATCCCTGTGAGTTCCCTGCAGTACTCTGAAGCACTCTGTCATCCAGGTATGATCAGTGGCTCTAAGCCGCTTCTAGGCCAGGGTTTAAAAAGCACTGTACAATGCATGTCTCCTTTCCTTCCCTCTTGAAACTTGGAGGTCACATGTGCCAGATGGAATGGCTACAAAACGTTGGGGGAGCAACCGAATGTCTGGGAAATCTTTTACTGAGTTGAGCTGTCATGGTTTGCTGGCTTCTCTGGCTAGCATTTCTCTGACTCCACACTGTTTGATTTGGTAGCCACGAGGCTACTGAGAACGGGAGATGCAAATGGTAAACCTCTCAAAAAATTAAAAACTGGGGCCAATCAAGATGGCGTAGTAAATAAGGATGCTTGCTGCTAAGCCTGCCAACCTGAGTTCAATGCCTGAGACCCGTGTGGTGGATAATCAACTCTCATAGGTTGTTCTCTGGCTTCCATGTGTATACCATGGCCTGTGTATACATACATATATGCACACATGTACATAATTTAAAAAATCAAATTAAAAACCAAAGTAGAAGCAAGTATTTTTCATTAAACACAGCTTTATTTTTTATATTTATACTTATATTTTTTTGAGACAGGGTCTCACTATGTAACTTTGGCTGGCCTGGAACTCAGTACATAGACCAGGCTGGCCAGAGATCCACCTGCCTCTGCCTCCCAAGTGCTGGGATTACAGGCGCACACCACCACGCCCAGCATGATATTTTAATAGAATTACAATTCACTTTAACTACTGCACCTCATAGGACGCTAGTAAATTGTACAGGAACGTGCATTTCAGTGACATAAATGTGTCACCAGTCTAATCAGCACCAACAAACTGATTCAGCTCAGATGACAATTTCCTATGCACAGATGGATTATCATAACGGTTTACGTCAATATTTGATGCAGACAGCACAAGTTAGAGTGTTACATATGCAATTCATAACCATAAGCTGAGTTGGAATTGTGATTATTCTATAGGTAAAAATACATGGAAAAATATTTAAATTTTAATCAAAGGCATATTTCTAAGGCAGAATTCAGTGCAGATACAGAAGCTTGTACTACAAGTGGCACAGGGGACCAGATGAATGTCCGGTGAGCATTCAATAATGACAGTGGCAGTTTACAGCAGCAGCAAGCACAAAGTCTGTTGAGTTCAAGTACTGAAGATAAATACAGTAGGCAATATTGAAGACGACAGTTCAGATCCACATCCTTTCCAGCAACTTAAATAATCCACAAAACTAGTCAAATTGAAAGAGAACCAAATTTCTAACCAAACAATTTAAATGACTGTTTAACAGGATCTCAGGTCATAAGCTGGCCAGCTATAGAACAGCTTGATTCTTGCACATGCATATCAGACACATAGAGAACCTTGGATGGAGAAAAGTAACCTTAAGTATTATAATTTACTTACAAATCTGAAAAACGACGATTTAAAAATACCCACGAAAACTGAAAATATTGCACCATTGAACAATTTTGCTCAGAGTAAATATGAGCAAGTTACATATTTCTCACACAGTATATATATATATTTCTATTATCAAAGAATGATTCCAAATTTGAAAATTTAAGTTTTTTCATTAATTTTAGATGAATTGTGTAAGACATTGCCCAAAGAAAACTTTGGTTATAATCTGTCTCAAAGAACATCAAAATTTACAAAGAGATGCCAATTCATTACCTCAAATTTCAAACTCAGATTTTTATTTATTTATTTTGGTAATTTTTCATCTGTCAAGGAATTTCAGCAAGACTTATTTTCATGAAGATAGGATTATAGCTTAGTGGAAAGATCAGATTTATCAAATTTAGAGCAAGAGATAACTTTTCCCTCATTGCTTTATTCGGTGTATGATTCATGCTGAAAGTGTTTGTATTGTTTTCTGATACAGACTCAGAAAGAGAGTCCGATACAGGCACTAAAGTTCTTCAGTACCCACGTACAGATGCTATGGAATCAGCAATGCCAATTTATGGAACAAGTGAAACAGAACATATGTAACTCTCTATGGTTCTTTGTCAATGTTACCCGGATGACTCACAAGAGTTTAAGATGCAAAGTGACAAGAAGCCAGACACAAAAAGACAAATACCGTATGGTCATTTATGTGAGGGACTAAGCCAGACTTGGAGAAAGCAGAATCATGACCAGGAGCTTTAGAGAGGAGAGAATGGGGAATTACTGCCTAATGAGTTCAGCGTGGGATGAGGGAAAAATTCTGGAGTTAAACAATGATAATGCCTCAAACGTGAATGTACTGAACACTGTGGAATTGTATAATCAAAGAGGTAAAAATGGTTCATGTTTATGTTATATATTTTACATTAAAAGGAATTCTGGGACTGGAGAGATGGCTCAGCGGTTAAGAGCACTGACTGTTCTTGCAGAGGACCCAGGTTCGATTCCCAGCACCCACATGGTGCCTACGAACCGTCCTTAACTCCAGTTCCAGGGGAATCTGGTCTTCTTCAGACCTCCGCGGCATTGTATGACATGGGTGCACTCACATACATGCAGGCAATACACTCATACATATAAAATAAAAAAATAAAAATAATTCAAAAGTAAAATGAATAAAAGTAAAATTATGGACAGAGGCTTTGTATTGTCCTGTGACTTAAAAGAAATTTCTCCTATATGAACTATTAGGAAACATTTAAAAGACCAAGATCTTTGCTTTAAAATGTGTCAAGGGTTGATTTTAATATTCAATGTAAACAAAAATGTTCACTATAGTTGTTTAAAAAGCAAGTCTGTGAGGAGACAGAAGTTTAAAATCTTTCAATGATCAAAATTCAAAAATAAATTTAAGTGGGTGGGTGCTAGGCTAGACTGAAATCCTTCAGACAACTGTACATAGTTATTGATAAATATCTTGTAGTGGGGTGATTTCCCCCTATAGTTAATAAACAGTACTAAAAAATTCATATTGGATAAAGAGACGTATATCTAGATAAAGAATTTATCATAATTTAACCATAATCTAACTTTAAAATAGACAAGAGATTTGAATAAGCATTTCACCAAAGGAAATATGTTAGTCATCAGGGAAATGCAAATTAATATCATAAATGCCACTTCTACTAGTATCAGGGTGACAAGATTTAGAAAGGTTGGCCATGATGTAAAGAAAGGAAACACAATTTAAAATGATGTAGTCACACTGGAAAGCATTTGGCAGTTTCCTAAAAACTTAAACAAAAATTTACATGACTCAGCAATTCCAGCTACACATATGTACCAAATAAAAAAATGACTGTCTATACAGACTTACACATTAGTGTTCACAGTATTGTTCCAAATAGCCAAAAACTGAGGGGGGAAAATCCAAATGTCTTTTCAGAAGGAAACAAAGTATCCGAATGATGGAATACTATTTAACACCAGTCAACAATAAATAAAATTTTAACAGTAAGAAAGCACAAAGGCATGTATAGACTTAAAACGATGTTAATGAAAATGAAAAAGACCAATATAAAATGTCCAAAAAGGGCCACTGTATAGGTAGAAAGCAGATCAGTGGTTACCTGGGACCACAGAAGGGAGATCATGTGTGAATGGACATATCTAGTAGATATTATCAGGGTGATAGCAATGTATTATGGTAATGATTGTACAATTCAGTAAACTGACTAAAGCTTACTGAACTGCACACTTGAAATGAGTTTTTATCATATGCAATTTATACTTCAATAAAGTTATAAAAAAGTTTTGATTCCCAACTGAGATTGAGATTAAATATCATATAAATTTTGGGGGAGCCTAACCACTAAGTACCCTAGAGCAGATCTTTTCTTAAGAGGAGTTTACATATTTAATTATTCCAGTGAATTATATCCTTTCAGAAAGCCCATATAAATGATTCTTATAAGCTATATTCCTTTGGGGGCTAGAATGAACTTGCTTGGTCCATATGACAATAGCTATACCGATCAATTTATCACACAGTAATTAATTTCTTTCAGACTTTGGGGTGGGAGGAGGCACCAGGAAGAAAACAAATGTCTTACATCCAGAGGTAGCATTTCAAACCTAAGCATATTAAATCAGCAAATGTTCCTGAGCCTCAGATCAGCATTAAGGATCCTTCACACCCATAAGACCAGAGTTCTGGTTTAGCTCTTTTCATTAGGGACTGCCTCAAATGTCAACTTCAGGAATTTCAGTACCACTGTTGAGCCAGTAGAGCCTCTCTGGAACCCAGTGACCTGAGACCCAAATGAACTCATTCAGAGTCTTTAGTTACTTTTTCAGTTACAAATTATTAAGATTCCATCAATAAAAATTGAGGACTATCCACCAATACCTGTAAAGTCCGTTCCTTTGAGGTCTAGTTCACAGAAGGAAATATAACTTATAAATTTACTTATGTGCTAATAATTTTCCTGAACTTGTTATCAATGGGTCTTTTTAATGTATGTATTCTCCTGATGGCAGGGGATCAAAATATCATACATCTGCAGTAGGAAAAGTCAGGTTATACACTTGTGAAAACCTGGCTAGAATAGATTCCTCATCTAAAAGATGGTACCAGCTGAGCACTCCATGCAAATAAGGGTCCAATGTGTCAGTCCTTATAATTTTTTTTAAAGTTTTACTGTCTTCAAAACATGAAATTCCCTTATTTTTAAATAGTGACAACTATATACATATACTCTACCACAAAAATCAATGGAAACATGTCTAAGCCCAGTCTGATTCAGTCTAACATCTTGTGACTTTTGCTATACAGAATGCTTACCCTGAGGCTACAGGAAGGAAGCCGTGCCTGCTACAAGCAAAATAATAGTCCATCCAGAATAGCTATTTTTGGTTTTTCTTTATCCCTAGTCTATACTCCTGGGACTGTTACTCTTATAGTTGAGTTGACTTACTTACATGCAAGCTCTCTGGATTCTGAACCTGCTGAGGTAAAATTCAAAGGATAAGAAGATTGGGGCGATTTGTGCAATTAGAACACTCCCTGAAAACAAACTTGATTGAGCTTCCCTGACTTGTTCCCATTTATCACATTCTGGGGATTCCTACAGCAAACATTCAAAATGTATACTATATTCTCACTAAGCTAGATGCTTGGAAATCAATGCCATCTCTTCATTCTAGTGGTAGATTAAATTCTGAAGGGCCAAATGACTTGTTCGAGGCAACACAGTGAATTGGTTGCCAAACTGGGACAGAACTTGAGAGTCCAGTCAAGTTCTTTTCCGTGACACCATATGGCATGGAAGGGGGGCTGAGGAGAGAAATATCACAGAAAAAAAGTGTTTTCCAAATTTCAGTTTGGCCTTTTGGAATTATTTCACTTCACGTTTTCTTCATTAGCATTATGACTTTACCAATTCTAATCATAAGTGACCCTCCTCAAGGAAACGGCTGAAAGGGAAGAATTCTTTGCCTAGAGGTGAGCCCATTTAAGTTGCAGTTTCTAATCAATGCTATGGGTAATTTATGTCCTAAGTTCTTAAATAAGGGCACGATCTGGATTGGCCCCCACCCCCACTTACTATATTCGCAGATTACTCTATAGGGTGACGTGCCCGATGTTTGAGAAAGCTTGACCTACTTCTCCATTTCTTACCACATCCTTCACACTCATACTGTGCATTTGTGTTATGAGTTTTCACATGTTCAATAAGGATTGTGCTCCGCGTAAAAGTTGCTTCACAAAAGTCACATTTGTAGGGCTTCTCTCCAGTATGAATTCGGTAATGTGCATTAAGAGATGAACTCTGTCTGAAGACTTTCCCACATTCTTTACATTTATATGGCTTTACACCGCTATGACATCTTAAATGACGGCCAAGGAGGGAATGAGTAGGGAAGGCTTTCTCACAGTGCTTACATTTGTAGGGTTTCTCTCCTGTGTGAAGTCTTTGATGATAATTGAGAGTGCTAATATGGCTAAAAGTCAATCCACAATCCTTACACAAATACGGTTTTTCTCCAGTGTGAATCCTCTGATGTCGGGTAAGGCAAGAATTCTGTCTAAAGGCTTTTCCACAATCATTGCACTTATAGGGTTTCTCTCCAGTATGAATTCTCTGATGTTTTGAAAGAGAAGAACTATGAGTGAAGGATTTCCCACAGTCATTACACTTGTATGGTTTTTCTCCAGTATGAATTCGCTGGTGTTGATATAGTGATGAACTGTCACTGAACGGTCTTCCACAGTCTTTACATACATAGGGCTTTTCACCAGTATGAGTTCTTTGATGTTTAGCCAGATCATGAATTAAGATAAAATCTTTTCCACATTCATCACACTTATACGGCTTTTCTTTTTCTTTACTGTGAGTTTTGTGATGTGGTTTGAGCGATGAACTACCACTACAAGCATTTCTACATTCATTACACATAGAGGGGGTCTCTTCAGCATGACTCCTATGATGCTTAGAGACTGAGGCACTATAGCTAAAGGCTTTTCCACATTTACCACAGTTACTGGTTTTTTCTTCAGTCTCAGGCCCCTTGTCTTTATTTGAGGTTACACCCTGGCGTAAATTCTTGCGGCATTTTTTACATCTAGTGCTTTTCTTAGAAAGGGATGAGCTTGGAATAAAGGCTACCCCACATATACTGCATTTCTGGGTCTTATCCGTCACACTAACTTTCTGATGATTCTTATGTTTAGTTACAGATGAAGAGTGACTTGGGTCTTTCTCACTTTCATTGCATTTCCGTGACTTTTTTGCACTGTGTTCTTTTCGGTTCAGAAGATCCGAGTGAAAGCTGAAGGGTTTTTTGCATTCTTTAGACTTCTGAGACTTCTTCCTTAAATAGGCTCTCAGACGTTTAACTGTATCAGATGTTTGTTTGAAATTCTTTCTAGAGTGGCTCTCTTCTGGGTCAGATCCTTCACTCTCACAGCCACTCCACTCACCATGATCTTCGCTGGATCCATCAAGATGCTCCTGGAATTCTGTCTGCAAGCCACGACCATCATCACTGAAGCAGCTTTCTATTATTTTCTCTAAGGTAAAATCTTCCATAAAAACATCCAATTCATTTCTAGACTCACTCTCTAAAAAGAGACAAAAAATAAAATTGTTTCCTATTTGCAATAAAGCTGCTATATTTGGGACTCATATAGGCACACAGTAATGATTTTAAGGTATATGACTTGGATCTCAACTAGAGCTTTGTAAAACAAGGAAGAAGCTAGGCAGAGAGGTACACTCCTTTAATCCCAGCACTCCAGAGACAAAGGCAGGTGGATCTCTGTGAGATCAAGGCCAGCCTGGTCTACAAAGTTTCAGGCCAACTAGGGCTACAGGGAGACCCTCTCTCAAAAAGCAAAACAAAAAACTCACAGGGAAGAGAAAGGCAATAGAGGAAAACAAGATAAACACAGAGGCTAAGAAAAATATTGTAGAAGAGGAAAATATTGTGCTTCATATAAGTAAAAGATGAAAACTCCTAGGCTGGAGAGATGCCTCAGTGGGTAACAGCACTGGCTACTCTTGCAGAATCCCAGCACCAACGCGATGGCTAAGAACCATCCATAACTCCAGTTCCAGGGATCTGACAACCTCTTCTGTCCTCCAAGGGCACTGCACTACATGGGTACACTTACAAACATGCAGGCATAACACTCATACACATAAATAAAAAATTAAAATTAAAAAAAAATTTTAAAAAGATGAAAACTCTAACTTCCAATTTTTATACTAGGTTCAAACCTATCCTCTTTACATCCAAACTTTCTCTTTTCAAAACATGTAACACAAACTGACACACAAAATGATTATACACTTATTAAACGACAGGCTCCACCTCAAGCACTTCATCTGCATTGTTTCACTTAATCTACAAACAACCCAATGAAGTCTCACAATTATCCTTGTTTTATGGATGCCAAAACTGGGCACACAGAGTGTCAGTAGCTTGCCCAAGGTCACATGTATTGTAAGTGGTAAAATCAGATTTTAATTTGATACCAAGGCCCATGCTCTGATCCCTACACTATACAACCACTCCTCAAGGCAAACAAATAGTATAGAAAATGCCAATCGCCTCACTAATACACATATCAGGCCTAAGGATATTTAACCAGGCATTCATTTCTTCTCCTTCCTATACTGCAGCACATTCATGTTCTTACAACCTACTACTTAAAATGCAAAGCTGCCACACTCTATCACACATAAATCTGACAAGAACTCAGGTCCAAGTCTTGGAATCAACATGGAACTGTCTCCAATACCGTATACTGATTGTTAGTTTTCTTAGAACTCTGAATTCATTTATTAACCATATCATGTACCCTAACATTTTTCTTTTATTTCTTTTATATGTGTATGTTGCTGGTGGTGTGTATATATGAGCATGTGTAGATGCACATGCCCATATTCACACATGTGGAAGGCAGGAGGAGGATGTCAAGTATCTTCTATTGGTCTCCACTTTTTTTTTTTTTGAGACAGGGTCTCACTGAACCAGAAGCTGGCATGTCCAGCTAGACTGGCTGGACAGCAAACACAAAGGATCTTCCTGTGTCTGTCCCAGTGCTGAGGTTACAGAATGTGCAGCCATGCTTAGCTTTTCCATCAGTGCTGTGGATTCTAACTCAGGTCTTCATGCTTACACAGCAAGCACTTTACCCACTGAGACATGTCCCCAGTCCCCACCCTGGCTTTCAATCACAAGATCACACAATCATTTTCCTAATTATTCTAAAAAGATAAGTATAAAACTCAAAATTCTATTACTCAGAAGGTTGAGTTTTCTAGAATTTTCCATATAGTTTAGAGTGGAAAAATGTATATGCATTACTTTTTCATTTATAATTTCCAATCTCATTGGCAATTTTAAAAATGATAATTTTATTCTTACACGATCATCATTTATAGTTTATTCATTTCCTTATTGAATGTTTATCAAATAATAGTCTTATGGTTAGCAATACAGTTCAGTGGTGGTAGATATATGCTTAGCATGCATGAAATGCTGGGTTCAGCTGTGTGTGTGTGTATGTCTTAGGGTTATATAACTTTACATAATTCCTAGGGAATAGAACCCCCTGACTATTCGACTATTCACCTCACCTCTGATCAATGATCTTTTTCTTTGAGTTTTTTTTTGAGACAGGGTCTCCCTGTAGCTCAGTTGGCCTGGAACTTGCTATGTAGACCAGGCTGGCCTCAAACTCAGATCCACTTCTGCCTCCCAAGTGCTGGGATTAAAGGTGTTTGCCCCATGCCTTGGTGTGATCAATGATCTTTAAATATCTGCTGATTTGTTTCATAAAAGCATTGTTGCTTTAAACATATAGTCCCATTAATGACTAAGTCCAAATTTTTCAATTTCAAAAGCCATTTAAATTTTCAATTTTGTCAGTTATCTGTTCAAATTGTTTGCCCATTTTTCTAAAATATATAATGCTAGTTCACTGCTATTTTACACACTTAAATATCTCTATTGAATCTTTTTCTCCAATATAAAGGACTTCTTTTTAACATTTACAGCATTGTTTTTGTTTGTTTGCTTGTTTGGTTTTTTTTTTTTGTTTTGTTTTGGGTTTTTGGTTTTGGGTTTCTTTTTGTCTTTTTGAAACAGGGTCGCCCTGCAGCCCCAGGTGGCCTGGAACTCACTATGTAGACCAGGCTGATCCCGATTAACAAAACAGTATGAACACTCAGTTTTGAAATTACTCTAAATTGCTGCTTTAAACATAAAAAAATTGTCTTTGTTTATGTAATTAGACTGGAAATAGCCAAGAGGTTGACTGAAATGAATGCTTAAGATAGAATAGAATAAGACATTACTGACTTTAAAAAAGAAAAAAAAAAGGTACTGGGGCTGGAGAGATGGCTCAACAGTTACGGGCACTGGCTGCTTTTGTAGAGGACCTGGGTTGGATTCCCAGCACCCACATGGTGGCTAACAACTGTCTGTAACTCCAGTTCTAGAGTGATCTGATGCCCTCTTTTGACTTCTGTGGGCATTGCATGACAGGGGTGCTCTTACATTCAAAACATACACATAAAAAATAGTGTTTTCCAGATAGTAAAGATCCTTAAATATTTAATCTATACACTTAGACATATGAACATCTTACAAAAAATGGGATTATACACATTTACTGAGTGAATTCCCACTTACCCTTCAAGATTAAATTCAAATGCTAATTAAGTTATTGCTCCTTTATATGGGAACTTTTTGACTTACAATGGAGTTATATCTTGGTAAACCCATTGAATTGAAAATACACTAAGTAAAAAAATGTACTGAATACATCCAGCTTACACTGGCTTTTAAACATGAGGTTACATACAAGGAACTATGGGAATACAGTCTTACAATGGCTTATTAGGATTTTTTTGACCTTATGATGAGGCAAAAGTGATACATATTCAGCTGAAATTTTACTTGACAAGCAATAATGTGACTCAATACTCTATTGCAAGGCTGGGCTTGGCATCAAACCTGCCCAACATTTGGGTTTTTCTCCAAAGACTTAGGTAAACAATAGTTTTCATTTCCTTTCGTATCTTTTACCAACTCACCTGGTCTGGGGCCTTTAGAGATTTCTTTTTCAAGCGCCTTTGGCAATTTAACCCATGTCAGTTGGGAAATCAGATTGAATTTGGAAACTGGAAAGCCTGCTCAAGGAAAGGAAGGAAAATGGTTTAGACATAGACAAAGGTGCCAACATTCATATACAGCCTCTATTTCTCCAGAGAAGGTAAAGATGCTATCCAACACATGCATCCATGTTGGGCTCCAAGGAGGAAATGGGATATGGCAAAACAGTGACAACAAAATGTTCCACATTTACAATGCAGTGAAGCGAAGACTTTATAAGAGAAAGCACTACAGAAAGTACATTTTTCAGATTCATTTTTAGGGGTTGGAGAGATGGCTCAGCGGTTAAGAGCACTGACTGCTCTTGTAGAGGACCTGCGTTTGATTCCCAGCACCCACATGGTGGCTAACAACTGTCCTTAACTCCAGTTCCTGGGGAATCCAATGCCCTCTTCTGACCTCAGCAGCATTGCATGACACAGGTATACTCACATACATCAGACAATATACTCATACACATAAATATATATATATATTTTTTTTGGGGGGGGTGTCTTTTTGAGACAAGGTCTCCCTGTAGCCCCAGCTGTCCTGGAACTCACTATGTAGACCAGGCTGGCCTTGAACTCACAGAGATCCGCCTGCCTCTGCCTCCCAAGTGAAAAATAAATATGTTTTTTAAAAAAGATCCATTTTTAGGAATAGTTCTATCAGGTCCTGGAAGCCTAGCAGAAACAAAGTTAAAAATATTTCACATGCTGGATGTGGTATCGCATGCCTATGGTCCCAGCACTTGGGAGGCAGATGCAGGCGATCTCTGTAAGTTCAAGGCCAGCCTGGTCTACATAGTGAGTTCCGGACAGCTGGGGCTACAGGGAGACCCTGCTTCAAAAAGACAAAAATAAATAATAATAAAATTAAAAAAAAATTCACATAGCACTTTAGCAACAGGACAGATTACTGTCTTAGATACTAGATCATGAAGAAGGTTGTCTTTACCCAAAAATTCTAGGCTCCTTAAGCTTTCCAGTAGTACTTCCTTATATAGCTCCTTTTGAGAGGGTTCCAGCATCTGCCACTCTTCTCTGGTGAAGTTCACAGCCACATCTTCGAATGCTATAGATTCCTAGAATACCAAACATAGCCCCTTTACATTGTATTAGTTCCCAGCAGACACTAAGGATTCAGAGAAGTAGTGATTAAGTAAGGATTTTGAAAGTATTCAAAGTTGTGTGTGTCTGTGTGTTTTACTGGATATTGAACTTGGGGCCTTGTGCATGCTAGGTAAGTGCCCTACCATTGAGCAATATCTCCAATATTTTTACTTCTCATTTTGAGACAGGGTCTAACTAAATTGCCTAAACAGGCCCTGAACTTGGAAATTCTCTTGCCTCAGCCTCCTGAGTATCTGGGATTATAGGTCCATGCCTATTCAAGCCTGATAAATTTTTAAAGAGTTCCAAAGCAAACTACAAAGAATCTATTATATAACACCAACAAGAAATACAGAATTAAAAGGCTGGGTGTGGTGATGCATACCTTTAATGCCAGCACTTAAGAGGCAGAGGCAGGCTCATCTTGTGAGTTTGAGGCCAGCCTGATCTACCTAATGAGTTCTAGGACACCTGGGGCTACAGGGAGACCTGGTCTCAAAAAAAAGGGTGGGGCTTGGTTAATTTTTACCTTTCCCAATTAAGGGTCTGGTATAAAATATTGTATAAGAATTCTCTAATCTAGGGGCTAGAGAGATTGCTCAGTGGTTAAGAACACTGACTGCTCTTGTAGAGGACCCACGCTCAGTTCTCAGCACCCACTTGGTGGCTAACAACCATTCTGGGAGGCTAACAACCATTCCAGGAGATCTGATACTCTCTTCTGCCCTCTGAGGACATTACACGGCATGGGTGCACTACAGGTCAACTCATACACATAGCAATAAAAATAAGCCAGGCATAGTGGTGCATGCTTTTAATTCCAACACTTGGGAGGCAGAGGCAGGCATATCTCTGTGAGACAGAGGCCAGTATGGTCTTCATAGCAAGTTCCAGACCAGCTGGGGTTACAGGAAGACCCTGTCTCAAACCCACCACCACCACCAAATACACACACACACACACAAATAAAAACAAGATAAAAAGAATTCTCTAACCTAACATTGATTGAGTTCACCCCAGCACATGGATTTTTAAGATTAAAAGGACAACCATAAATGAAGGGTATGATTTACATTGCCTACTCTCAAATTGGCAGAATAAAGCAAGTACAGGCAATATTAAATACATAATAATATCAGCAGCTGAGTTAGAAACTTTAACTTTTAATTATATGCAATAGTGATTTTTTTCAGGGGGGGGGACAGGGTCTCCCTGTAGTCCCAGCTGTCCTAGAACTCACTAAGTAGACCTGGCTGGACTTGAACTCAGCGATCCACCTGCCTCTGCCTTCCAAGTGCTGGACTATAGGCATGCACCACCATACTGGGCTAGTAGTGATATTTTTTGAGACAGGGTCTTTCTGTAGCCCCACATGGCCCAGAACTTACTATGTAAGTCCAGGCTGGCCTCGATCTCAGAAATCCACCTGCCTCTGCCTCCCAATTAAAAGTGTGCATCACCATGCCTGGCTGTTACTATTATTTTGAAGCAAGGTCTTGTTATATAGTCCAAGTTGGCCTCAAACTCACCCAAGATCCTCCTGCCTCAGTGTCCCTAAGGCTGGGATTACAAATGTTCACCACCACACCTAGCTGCAGCATATTTTATATAATCAAAGAGCATCTGCATTCAATAATATACCCTCCTGCGAGTACTCCACATTTATAAACAAGCATGGATTCATTAAATTCACCTTCCCTTCTTTTTTCCTTTCAGACAGGATCTCACTACATAACCTAAACAGGCTTCAAACTAGCCATCCTTCCGTCTCAGCTTCCTGAGTTCTGAGATTACATGTGTGCCATCACATGTAGTTTAAGTTCCCTTTTCCTGCTGTGGCATCTACAGCACTCTCTCTGAGACCCTTTGAGAGGCAGAACAATGCTGTCTATTGGCATTTATATTAGCCTCTTGTCAGCGTTATACTATGTAACCAGATAACAGGACCCTGGTGGCTTCAAATAACAGAAATTTTCTCATTGTTCTGAGGCCAGAAATTGGACATCAAGGAGTTGGCAGGGCTTTCCTTCCAGGGTCTCTGGGGGAGAATCCATTCTCTGCCTCTTCCACCTTCCAGTGGCTGCCAGTATTCCTGGACTTTCCCTGGCTTGTGGCCCCATCACTGCAAACTGCTCCCCTGTCCATGTAAGCATCTCCTCTGTGTTGAAGCTCCCTCTGCTGCTCTCATAAGAACACCTGTGATGGCTCTTAGGGCCTACTCATACCTCAGGATCAATTTCTCATCTTACAACCCTTAACCACACCTGCAATGAACGGTCCTCCTTCAAACAAATTAACATTCATAAATTCTGGGGACTAGGAAGCTGGCATACTTTGGGGCATATTTATTGGTCTACTATAGCAATATTATGATTGTGAATACATTGTTTTTCCTAAGTGGGAATTACTGGTGTACTGGAAACCTACTGATCCACAGCCAGTTGGTTTTCTAAGCAAGCACCTGAATTCTAGTACTTAGTTGATCCCAGAACTTTCCAAACAAACAATATTGTCTGTAAATATGTCTTTGTCTCTTTCACCTCATGCTTGGATCTCATTTCTTTCTTACTATAATGGGTTGACTGGAATGATCAGGTAACACAGATCAGGACATTCCTGACATTTCCAATTCTACCCAGGTAGAGGTGTACTTTACCATATTAGGGCAATATAATTCTATTTCATTCTGACTCATTTTGTCAGGGTGGGATTTTAATAAATGCTTTTGTTTTTAAATCTTTTTCCTATTTAATGGGGGGGGGGGGAGATGTGCATACCACAATGTGAGGGCAAAGGGATAGCCTACCAGAGTTTGTTCTTTCCTTCCACCTTGTGGGTCCTAGACATTGAACTAAGATCATCAGGCTTGGTGGCCGGAGCCATCTGACCCATCTCACTGGCCCTAAATATTCTTGTTTAGTGTCAGTATCGTTACAATCTGAACCCCAAGAAATAGCATGTAAACAGTGACCTATAAGCTGTCTTTGTTATTTTTGCATCTTTACATTCCTCACTAACACCTCAGTTTCCATTGAAGGAAAATCAGGGAAAGGGAACTTACACATGGCTCAGTATTTGGAGGATCAGCCACTATCTCATCTTCTCCCAAATTCTCCTCTTTGCAAACAGCAGAATCTTGAGTGATCAGATCTAGAAAGGAAAAATAGTCTGGTCCTTCAGCTGGATTCTTCAGACTAAATCAGTGTCCACAATCCCATCCTTGGGCTGTATTAATTTGCTAGAATGGCTCATAGGAAACATGTTATTTACCCACTTACTATAAAGGATATTTCAAAGGATACAAATGAACAGCCAGATGGAAAAGCTGCATAGGGTAAAGCCTACAGGAAAAGGCTCAGAGCTTCTGAAACTGGCTATGGCCCGGATGTACACAGGCAAACTCCCTCCATGCCTTTCTCAGGTATACCACCCTTCAGGAATCCCCCTCATGTCCAGCTCTCTCCAAACTTGCCTTTTGGGGCTTTTAAGACGGTTGATTAATTCAATCACTGGTGATCAATTCAACTTCAGCCCCCCTCCTCTCTGGAGGTGGGGGCTAGTGCTCTGAGCGCCAACCCTCGAAGCTGCAGGTTGGGTTCCCAGGCAATCAGCCCCCATGGGTTGTTACTTTCCAAACATCACCTAATTAAATTCAAGCATGGCTGAAAGGGGCCTTTATAAACAAGACTGTCTTTCACCTTGACAGTGCTGGAGGGGTCTGGAATAGGTTTCAAGAACCAAGGAAAAGGGCAACTATTTTAATAGAAGGCAATGCTCCAGTCACTTGGGTCAGGAATACGGGTGAAAACTCAAATATCTACTTAATATCACAATGTTTCATGTAGCTCTAGAGAAGAGGTAAGAAACCAAGCCTCTCTACTCTTTAAAACAGTTGTCAGAATTTCCCATTAAAAACAAAGATATAATAGGGCTGGAGAGATGGTTCAGCAGTTAAGAGCACTGGTCTTGTAGAGGACCCAGGTTCGATTTCCATCACCCACATGGCAGCTAAAAACTGCCCATAACTCCAGTTCCAGGGAATCTGACACCCTCTTCTGATCTCAGCAGGCACTGCACAACATGGGTGCAAAGACAACGAAACCAGCTTTTTTCACTATTTCAAAGGTTCTTTCAATTCCCAAGTCTGCGGAGTTCCTTCTATAAACCCATAGCTTTAAAATACTCTGTACGACAATGTGTTTTAAAGTATTTCTAATTTACAAGGCATAGTCAGGTTAAAAAAAAAAAGTGCATTTTCTTTTTACCTAGTACTTTGAGATCCTACAATACCTTGCTCAAATGTTACTTCAACCTATTTATTGAGCAAAGCCCCCAAGCCAGCCTCAAAAACTGACTCTGCCTCTGGAATTGCCAGCAGATTCCTACAGACAGGAAGTAGTTAACTCCAAAGCAAAACAACTCCATAGAATGTTTAAGGAGAAACAGTGCTGGGATGGAGTTCTAGTCTTAAGGGGAGTGCTGGGTGAGCTCACTGAGCTCTTAAGGTGGGAAGAGAGTGGGCCACGAGGCTGGGAGGAACCTGGCTACATAGTGACTAAGTATATTAAACATTCTTAGATGACAACAGCCTTTTTTTCCGGTAAGGGAAAAGTTTTCCAAATCACACTCTACCTTTTATGAAAATATTTTTAGGCAGCTTTATAAACTGGTTCCGCAGTTTGTAAAAAAAAAAAAAAAAATGTCATATTGGGCGTGGTGGTGCATGCCTTTAGTCCTAGCACTTGGGAGGCAGAGGCTGGCAGATCTTGGTGAGTTCAAGACCAGCCTGGTCTACATAGCAAGTTCCAGGCCAGCTGGGGCTACAGGGATACCCTGGCTCAAAAAGGCCCAAAAAAAAAAAAAAAAAAAAAAAAGTCACTAAAGATCTAAGAGGATTAGCGTAAGGAATTTTTTGTTGTTGTCTTTTTGAGACAGTCTCCCTGTAACCCCAGCTGACCTGGAACTTGCTATGTAGACCAGGCTGGCCTCCATCTGAGATCTGCATCGCCATGCCCAGCAGAAATTCTTTCTTACAGAATGCTAGGAATGGATTTCTCAATGGGAGCCTCCACCCAGAGGCCTGAGTTTTGAGATAGATGGGAGAGGTTTGTCTCCATAGACTCAATTTGCAGTCACAGAGATAACTGGCATGTCTAAAGTGTGGACTGCCTGATTCCTTTCAGATTTATCACTGCAACATGGTGATCTTCCAAAATGAGGGCCTCCTAAGAGAAAGCCCCTATGATGCAGAATTGATTCTGTAAAATAGAATGGTTTCCTTAACTTATCCCTATCTTTGATTGTATAATTGTAATTTTAAATTTCTAGTCAAGACACTTCCTCAGCAATAAACTGCTTTGTTGGAGGAGTTTGCTTTCCTGTCTTGGAGAGGGTCCCCCCACTCCCCTGCTTCATCTGTCTTCTCACCTTCCTTTTCTTCCAGTGCTTGGTTCAGATTTTCGACCAGGGTCACTACCTCCACACTACTCTCAGGATGTTGTGACTGCACCCAAGTCCTCGTCTCTCCTGGCAAAACCCTCAGGAACTGCTCAAACACTAACAGCTCTAAGATCTGCTCTTTCGTGTGGATGTCTGGTCTCAGCCACTGCTTGCAGAGCTCCCAGAGTTGACTCAGGGTTTTTCTGGGGCCTTCTTCTTGTGAGTAACAAAACCACCTGAACTTCTGCCTGAAGGACTCTAGGTCAGCCACTTCTCTTCTTAATATATTTTCCTGGTCCCTAAGAGTATCCACTCTAGGGACCTTGCTTTGTTCACTTGAGGCCAGAGATGGGGGGTCTGGGAAGATGGCTGTCGTCATGTTCAAGGGTACTACAGCCTGCATGTCTATCACCAGCAGGAATCCAGTCCTCTTTAGACTACTGGACTAGCAATATGGTCTGCCAACAGGTACTATGCACAGCAAACTATCATGGGCTCCAGAATCCAATTCACAGTCTTGAAGAAACTGTCAAAAAGAAATGAACATTAAGTAAACAAATTGCTAATCTGAAAACATTGGTTTATTACACACACACACACACACACACACACACACACACACGCCCAGAACAGCTCTGCCCAAGTATTTTTTT